CAGAGTGGGATAGCGAAGAAGAGCGAAGGCGTGGTGGAAGCGGAAAAGGAAAACAAGCACTGCGCGACTCCGCTGGGCGTCGTTTACCTCCAGCTGAAAGGGCTCTACGGCGATAGACCGTAGATCAGGTCGAATGTTTGTCATATGTAATTGGTGTTTGGAGTTTGGAGGCGTTTTTCATGGCTTAGTACGATACCAAGATTTGAAAGTTCATGAGCAGATCATTCGTTTGGGAGCTAGCAACTTAACGCAAGCTGTTTCTTGTTCATTTGTATAGTACAGGTCGTACAAAGTATAGTACATTCGCTTTTTCAACCCCCATAGCGAAGTGATATTCTAGCGTGAACATAACCCCAAAATGTGTTCAAATCCCAACCCCGACTCCAGTCTGTTTTTATAGACGTCTAGGCTTCTCACTCCTGGTACCACCAAACTTAATTCTCGTTGAGTCGGCCACGCGGACAATCTTGTCTCGCAGGATCTTGCCCTCGGGGCTCATCAAGACCTTGAGAGCAGCCTCGCGTCCCTGACCGAATCCTCGCAACACAACCTCCAACCGGTTCATCTTCATGGGCCAACCGGTGTGAATTAATCGTTCCAGAACATACTTGGTGAGAGAGTAGGCGGAATCGAATGTACCACGGCGAGACTTGCGGAAACCAATGTTGCCTGCCGATAGAGAGATGATGGGGTCCCGGTTGGGCTTGGTGCAAGTAATGTGAGTGTTGTGTTTGGAAGAGTAGATGTGGAAGTGATAGGGTTCAATATCGTCTTCCTTGGCCTGTACCTGTCGACCAGTGTTTCTGGTAGACAGAGCGCTCGTATCGATATTAGACTTGTCGAGGGTCTTGAAGACAAGGCTCTGGGAGAGGTTGGCCATGGCATTGTTGGGAGATGAGCGGGTCTTGGTCGTCTCCTGAGGACCGTAAATATTTTCTAGGATAGAGGCCGTACTGGGTCGGTTAACGGCTCTCTTGGGCCTCTCATCATTGAGGGAAGTCGTTTGCGAGATCGATCGAACGATTTGGAATGCCGGATTGGGGACGGTGACTCGGGAGCTTCGAAAGAGCGTTTGCGCCGCGAGGCGACTCGTCAATGAGCGACTCATCTTGTGCGCATTGCCTGTCGTGAGACGTGCAATTCAATTGATTTAATGGGATCTGATCTATCGCTGGCGCTGCCAATTTTTACTCGCGGTTGTAGCTCCCCACGGCCCCGGGCTCCGATGCAAATTTCTGCCGAGGCTTTGCCGTCTCGGTGCTTGTCTTTCCTTCACTTTCCGCCCCCGGACCGAGATCGCAAACCAAAATTTCCTCCGGGAATTCCACCACCTTCCACTGTCCATATCTCCATACTCCACGCCCTGTTCTTTTCTGGAGGGTTTCTTGTCTCATTGTGTTGCAATAATGAATTCCCTCGCAAGAAAGACGGCTTCCTCGGAGCTTGCCTTGTCGCGAGCCTCCGCTCATGTCTCATCCGCGGGCAGATCACCCGCCTACCGCAGATTAGCATCCCAGCTCTCTCAGAATGCATCCCGCAATGGTGCGAGGCCACAAAGCTCAATGCTTTCTGGATCAGTTCGATCGCCTTTGAGTTCATCTTTTGTCCCCGCCGAGCTCCGCCGATCCACCATTTATACCACGCAGTCTCGACTCTTCCACCTTTCCGGCCGCTTACACCAAGAGAAGCCTCAATCTGAGCAGAAACCCTCAGCTACCGCTCCCGCCGATGCCAAAGAGAAGAAGCCTACCGACACCGAGTCTGAGACCAAGCCCGAGGAGGAGCAATCTAAGAAGACTGAGGACGGCGAGAAGGGAGAGGATGGTGAAAAAGCAGGAAAGGAAGAGGGCGAAGGTGAGGGCAAGGACAAGAAGAAAGAGGATGCCCCTCCCCCTCCCCCTCACGGTGACAAGACCCCTTGGCAGGTGTTCATGGAGACCATGAACACCGAGTTCCAGAAGTCACAGGAATGGAACGAGTCGACTAAGCAGATTGCTCAATCTGCTAACCAGTTCGCCGAAAGTGAGGGTGTACGACGTGCCCGTGAGGCGTACGAGAAGTCCACAGGAGCTGTTTCTTCGACCCTCGGAAAGGGAGCCAAGGCAACTGCCGGAGCCATTGGCAAGGGTGCTTCGTGGACTTGGGACACTTCGGTCGTCAAGGGTGTCCGCAAGGCCGCCAATGTCACTGGAGATGCTATGGATAAGGCTACTCAGCCCATCCGAAACACAGAAGCCTATAAGAACGTCAAAGATGTCATTGATGATGGCAGCTCAATGCGATATGGTGGTTGGGTTGAGAAGGAGGAGCGACGGAAACGCCGAGAGGCTCTGGACAAGCAGCGAGGCTACAAGGCCCCTCAGGCCATGGAGGAAGATATCAAGTGAGTGCAACAACGTTCCTGTCCCTGAGACCATTCTAACGCACGACAGCGCTGGCACCAGTGTAACTCTTCACAAGGATGCTGCTTGGAAGGAAGCCTGGAGAGACTTCCGCGACCAGAACAAGTACGTACAGGGCCTATTCAGCTTGAGAGGCAAGTACGAAGAGTCCGAGAACCCTCTAGTATCGACCGCTCGAAGTATCACCGACCGCATTGGAGGTTTCTTCGCCGAGAACGAGACTGCTATGGTTATCAAGAAGTTCCGATCCATGGACCCCAACTTCCAAACGGAACCCTTCCTTCAGGAGCTCCGCGAATACATCCTCCCCGAGGTGCTGGATGCCTACGTCAAGGGTGATACCGAAGTACTGAAGCTTTGGCTATCCGCCGCCCAGTACTCAGTGTACGAAGCACTGACTAAGCAATACCTCCAAGCTGGCATGAAGTCAGATGGCAAGATCCTGGATATTCGTAATGTGGATATTCTTCGAGCACGTATGCTTGATCCTGGTGAGGTTCCCGTCTTCATCATCACCTGCCGTACCCAAGAGGTTCATGTTTACCGCAACGCCAAGACAAACCAGCTTGCTGCTGGTATGGAGGACAAGGTCCAGCTGGTCACTTATGCTATCGGTATCACTCGAGTACCAGAGGACGTCAACAACCCTGAAACACGGGGCTGGCGTCTGATTGAGATGCAGAAGAGTGGACGAGACTGGTACTAAAAGCACGATGATTTCAATGCGGCGTCAGGGGTTGGGATCTGCCTTTGTTGGATACCTATGAGATGAGAAGGAGGGCGAGCAAGGGAACATCGCCTATTATGTGTTAATAACTGTACAATATGTGCTATCATGTGAAAAATATCAGGGCGGGCTCTCGACACGAAAACAATATCACTACCACACCACAATGCAACACACCACCACCACAGTACAAGCATTTTCTGGGAGAACTGGATTGGGGCTGTTTACCAGCAAAAGATGACTACCACGCCGCTCTGTTTGCCTCGGGATGAGGCTTCTGAATGTATGATTATCGAAGGGAATGAAGGCACTGGGCCAAGGATCAGTGGTGTAAGGAAGATGGACTATAGACATGTTCAAAAGTTGCCTTGATATTCAAGGCTAATCCAATTTATTGGGGCGTATAGCCAAACCAATTCGAACTCCATAATATCACTCGCTCTTCAACAAAGTGCAATGCTACCCGTCTGATGCGGTCTTGACAGTCTCGATATCTCCTTTCGCCATTCACCTACAACTACGCCTTCCCGTTATCTCTTCTCTCCCTCAGGATTCTTCTGACCTCCATCAACTCCTTACCCAGCAGATTCTCACCCCATACGTCTCTTGCCGTTTCTGCATCCGCAGCTCTAAACCCAATACCCCATATCCGATCAAACGGACTTGCCTCGACAAGGTCCCTGTCACCTGTACTGAGCAGCGTATTAAGCAAAGAACCCTCGATAGGCTGCATTAGGCTATCAGCTGCGGCATTGCCGTTAGGTGTGCCCCTCTTGAAGCCTTCTTCGGTAATAGCACGCGTGAACTTGAGGATGTTACCTTGCCGAGCAACACCGCGGCGATGTTTGAGCCATGTCTCTTCGTCAAAGTTTTTGACCTTGCGGCCGAGAGACTTGACCTTGCGCGGATGGTCAGTTTTGAGAATCTGGGTGGCGATGGCTTGGTCGTTGAAGAGAAGGGCTTTTTGGTGCATCAAGTAACTGAACGCTGTTAACTGTTGTCATCTTTGGCTTCATATACGAGACTAACTGCTCAGCGGTTTTGTAGGTCTTTTTCTCATCTTGATCATCGCGAAAGGGACAGTAGTACCACTGTGAAAGGTAGCCGACTTCAGGGTCCGTTTCTCGCCAGAAATACACAGGGCCAGGATCCGAAGATGGTGTTGTTGAAGCCATTTTGGTAAACGATGATGATTTGGAATCTGAGGACCTGGGAATTCTTTGAGGGAGCCAAGTGCTTTTATGTAGTCTTAGTGATTGTAAAGTTAAAAACTTGGGCTGTGTTCGTTGGTGAGGCTGAAGCTGAGTTTTGGCTGTTGACTCATACGGGGAGGAGAGGTCGAGATTGATTTGTCTGCTTAAGCCTCAGAGCTGCCTTCCCTATAAGGCTGAACGAAATGCGCTATAGTTATACTTGTGTAAGATCGCCTTTGGCTACTAGAGAAAGAGCTTTGCGTGTTTCCTACGGCTATCTTACTTGAAGCCTGGCGGTACCTACCTAGACTAATAGTGCAAGCTGACTTGCACCGGATACCCAAGGTATGCAAGGCAGGTACTCGCGGATGATTGAAGAGGTTATCAAACTACCTAGTAGCCTTTCTCCCAGAGAAAATAACAAAAATTACCCACATGTCAATCTTCGTATGAACAGCAAATCAATTTGATTTCAGAGGCTGACGATCACCTATCATCCCCATCTGGAACTCAGATATTGTTCGCGCTGCATGCTGTGGTCGAGGTTTTCTATGAAATCAGCTTGCTTCAACCCGTCCCCAAACCTCTCCCCTCCAACCATACATGATATTTATAGCACCAAAAAGATCGAATCAACAAACCGGAATGGATATGATAGGCAAAGAAGCGAAAAAGAAATGGAGGCATAGGGATTTGAACCCTAGACCTTTCGCATGCTGGTGGCCAGAAGGCCTTATGCAAAGCGAATGTGATACCCCTACACCATACCCCCCATTTTCGATGCTGACAGACTTGTTATAGCTATACATATCGACTTCACGGCTGGGATTCGTGTGAAGGAGCGATTGAGGCCTACAATGGCCCGGACACTTCAATGTCAGATAGCCTACAGCCACTTTTTTCGAAGGCCTTCAAGGTGAAATATCAAGCTTCCATTCTCGCTACTATCAAGATCTTATATGCGCCGAGCATCTTGGATAAAGCTTTACACCGCAAGATATATCATCTATCCAATGACATTTACATCATACCAGATGACCAAAGCTGTAGCCAAGTGCTTCCAGAACGTGTATACAGCAGGACAAGGGAAGCAGCTCAAAACAATCTCAAGTATAACTACGAACATCCATCAGCTGTAAAGCACTAAGATGAAACACATAACATACTAGTACTGTCGCCAAAAACTAGACCGGCTGCTCCCTAACTCCCCCTCGGGGGGGAATAAAACACCGGATATGAGATCTCCTACATATTAGACTTTCTAGCCAGAATATTTATAATAATTTTATATAAAGAATATAAAAATAATAAAATTTTAGAAGAAACTTTAGTAATAATTATAATGTATTATATAAAAAAGAAATAATTTTATATAATATTATTATACTTAAGTAAAGATATCTTGTGGTAGAGTCGCTGCCGGTGTTTTATTTCTCCCCCTAGCTCCCGAAGCCAAATTCTGCCCGACACAGTGACGGAGCCCGGAGCATAAAGTGGGGGAGGAACCCCGGAACCTCGGAACCGAAGCACTTTCTTACCTGACCTGTCTTGTCTTGTACCCTGCTTTTGACAACGTCAACCAACTGAACACTTTCAACCTTTCACCCCAAAGGATTTCACCCAATAGCTCAGCCGATTCAACTCAATCAGATACCTCATATAACTGCGCCCATCATGGACCACGTCCAAGCCCAGATGGCTCACCAGGCCAGCACAGAAACGTACGTCTTCCTTACTCTCCCATCCAAAGCCTTGCTAACTTCCTCCTCAGCGCATCCCTCTTCACCCCCCTCAACCTTATTCTCCTCAGCGCAGTCCTGTACACAACCTACGCAATGCTACGCTCCTCGCCGCCTCCATCTCTCCCACGCGACACCCCCTCGGCCGTTTTCCGAACCTACACCCCTAAAACGCTGCTCCCCTTCAACGGCGAGGAGAACCGTCCTGTGTTCCTCGCTGTGCGCGGCCGTGTCTTCGATGTCACTCCCGGCCGTAACTTCTACGGCCCCGGCGGCCCTTATAGTAACTTTGCTGGTCGGGACGCTAGCCGTGGTCTTGCGTGCGGGAGCTTCGACGAGGATATGCTTACTGAGGATCTTGATGGTCCTCTTGATAAGCTTGAAGGCTTAGACGGGGAGCAGATGGAGGCGTTGCAGGGATGGGAGGAGAGGTTCTTGGAGAAGTACAATGTTGTTGGAAAACTTGTTTCTGTGAAGGACTATGAGGCAGAGAAGAAGGCTTAAGCGGTTGAAAACGGTTGACGAGAAAATGCCAAGCGTCACCTCTTGATCACGAATAAAGGTGTGATAGAAACTTTCAAAAGTACATGTGTGACTCGCATTCCTTCATTACTATAACTAAAACAAAGAAGAATTCCGTCTGCCTAGTCAAGGCAAGCAGAAACGTACTCTCACTCTATCCCGACAAGTTGCCTCAACAAGTCCTGGCCTACCCAAGAAAGAACGAACAAAAACAGCAGGTTCAACGTAACCAAACTCCGTGCAATGCCTCCTGTACATTTTTGCGTGAAGAGTTGCCGCGCAGTTCCTGATTCAGCAACCAGGGACTGTGTATATATATCCTATAAAGAAAGAAAAAAACAAAGGCGAGCGCGCCAAGACCAAGATCGGTAGAGAGAAAAGGGAGTAAAGAAAAAGGGAAAGCTTTTGACTCAAATCATACACGTGCTTTATTGCATCTCTAAGACTGCTGCTGCTTTGCGAAGAAGTGCTGCCGTTTTGGCAATGATGGGTTTGGTGGTCTTCCAGTCTCCTTCTTCTATACTGTCGCGAATGGCGGGAAAGACGGCCCCCCCATTGGACCAAGCTTCTGGCCCAAAGACGACGCTCTTAAATTGGGTGCGGTTGGGAATCTGGAGGTTGTCAGCTTAATTCATGCAGTTGGTCGGCCTGTAGGGAGTGAACTTACACCACCACCAATTTCAATATCCAACAACGCTGTCTCAAAATATGCCATCTTGTTGTTGTATGCCAGTCGAGATGCGCCGATGTTATTAGCTTCCCAGCCGCCGTTGCCCAAGACTTCGCGGTCCCAGTCCGTTTCCCAAGCTTCGAACGCCGCCACGTTATGTTGAATGAGTTGTACAGCTTCCTTGAGCTCTTTGAAAGCGTCCGTTTCACCATTTGGTTGGCCTTTCATCTTTTTGATCGCCCACTTCTCAAGATCTGCTACCCAGTTGCCTAGCCTCTGCCCATACCAACCCATATCAAAAGGCATGATGGGCCGATCGGCCATGTCGAGAATGAGAAGGGCTATCACTTGGCCCATTGCGCCGTGGTACTTGTACTCAGGGTCGATAAAATTGTCCACCAAGCCAATCTTGTCGTAGCTTGAATGATGGGGGACCTGACTTCCCCGAAATGCCAAGTCGATCGAACTGGTCCCTGAGATATCTTGAAATGGAATATGATCTCCCCTTCCCTCAGGCTGCTGAAGCTCGTGCTTGCTCTGGTTCCACAGCTCTTTTAAAGTGCTGTTTGTGACAGGATCAACAACTCGGCCAAGGGCGTGAAGGAGGGATTTCCGGAAAACTGGCGATCCAGAGGCGTGTAAGTCATTTCCAACCACAGCTGCATCAAGGTTGATATAGGCGAAGGCGTTGTCGCGCAGTGCCTCGGAATTGTGCTCGACGTACTCCGTTGAGCCAATTAGGTTGTACGTAGAAGCATCCCATGACATGAATTCGATTGTCCTCAAGGGTCTCCAGCCTCGCTGCACCAGATCTCCAAAGATGCGAGCCATCTCGATCATGACTGCTGTACCCGAGTGAGGATCAGTCGCTCCGAAACCCCAGGAATCACGCTGGTTGCCGATAATGATAGACTTGGACGTCTGTTCCATGCCATTGATTCGACCATAGACGTTCCAGATGGTGTGCATTGAGTCCTCATCTTGTTCGTTTTTCAAACGCACAATTGGAGACTTGTCATCGCCCGTCCACCACTCAACATCAGGCACACCTCCTTCCCACTTGTCAGGTACCTTTTCGCCATACCCCTTGAGATGCTGTAACAGGACCTTTGCGTCTCTCCATGCCAAGGGAAGACTGGGGATGCCAACGAGTCCGGTTGTCTTGTCGAGTGTGATCCGCTGATCACCCTTGCTACCATAACCAGGCGACAGGGGGTCGCCGATTGCCCAGTTCGTGAGTCCTACGGAGCCCCTTTGAACACCGTCTGCGGGCATATACAATCCCTCAGGAGCAACAACGCCCTTCTTGAAACCATCGTCCGCAGGATCAGAGTAGATGAGGCAGCCAGCAAAACCCGCTAACTCAGCTGCCTTAACCTTGAGACCTTGATTCTCTCGAGAACCACCGCTTCGTACTAGCGCAATAGCCCCTGTGACATTGACACCACTGCTCGTAAGATGCTTGAAGTCGTCTCGTGAACCGTAGTTGGCGTAAATCAAGGGTCCCTTGACGTCACCGGACTTGGAGTATCCGTGAAAGACATATGGCTGTCGGCCTACGATCTCGCCACCGACTTCCTCTTCTTCCAGCTTGGCCGTCCATTTGGCCTTCTTGAGATCCTTATCGTCCATGATTTGTACCGCACGGCCGTCTTTGCGGGGATAGTTTATGTAAACTTTGTACTCGTCCATCATAACCTCGTCCAACATTGCACGGCCAAACATGGCCTGAACATCCAGAGCAGTCGCGTAGTCGCCTTCGGTACCGGCGATATGGGCGTAGTTCGAAAAGTGCTGCGCAGACGCGCGCATCCTCATAGGATCGACGGAGCGTAGCAGGTGAGCTCGGAGGTCCTCAGGGTTGAAACGGAAACCGCCTCCCAAACGATCCGATAAGCCACCGAACATATCGCTGGCGAAAAGCAGATAGAAGAATCCGAGAATAATGGTAAGCGCCAGTATGCGCACACAAAATAAGATGACGGATGTCTTATCAAATTTGGGAATATTCCAACTTCTCGTCGTCTGGCTTGGCGTCTCCTCATTGTCACCTGTGGCAGTCTCGGCGTTGTCGGCAGCTGGCGCATCAGCTCTTTGAGGTAGACGTATGCGTAATCGGGGCAACCTTGGCCGCCAGGACCATTTCCACCGTGGTAGAGTTAGATATGAGCCAAATCGCTTCCCCCACTGAGAGCCCCGGGATCGATCGGGTTCTTCGATCTCCATCTCTTGCATCTCACGTCGAACCTGCGCGGCTTCGCCATCGCTTTCGCTATCGCTGGCCCAGAGACTTTCCTCATCGTCAGTTTCTACCGTAGGTGGTCGATAGCCGTCGGGCCTGCGTGATGAGCTAGCGCCACTCGAATGCTGTAGGAGGCCTTGGGATTCTGATTCGGTTGCATTCCGCTCGTTGGTCGGAGACCTTGGAGCAGGAGCCCAGTCATCGGGATCGTAATGACTACCGCTAGCTACGGCCTGGTCGTAAGTTGGAGGTATAGGATCATAGAAAGGAGTCTTTTCGGAAGGCATGGTGATGGTGTATGAGCGCTAACCGCGCCCTCGGTTGTCGTTTATTCAATCGAAATGAGGCTGATTTCGCGGTGTTGGTTTTATAAAAAATTCGAGGTATGTAGGGCCATTCGGTGCAAGGTTGAAATAAAGGAGTGGGCGATTTAGGTCGATCGATCAGGATGAAGCAATTAAGATGGGTTCAAGTACGAAAGGAGCGTCAAGAAAGAGAGACAATAGTCGAAGCTGGACGCAAGAAGCGCATCGCCAAACCAACAAGCCCAAAAGCAGAAGCAAATGCCAAAGTTCAAGCTGAGATAGAGGCTCCGACTG